ATTTAACGAAAACCCCCGCCATACCCCCCACCAAAGACCTATAAACCTACAATCCACCATGGCCTCTCCAATTCGCGTCACAGTCCTCATATCCGGCAATGGCTCCAACCTGCAAGCCGTGATCGATAAAGTTGCCGCAGGTCAGATAAACGCAACAATCGTCCGCGTAATCTCTAACCGCAAGACCGCATTCGGCCTCGAGCGCGCAAGCAAGGCCAACATCCCAACCGAATACCACAACCTTGTCAAGTACAAGAAGCAGCACCCCGCGACGCCGGAAGGTGTTCAGCTTGCGCGCGAAGAATACGATGCTGAGCTCGCGAGGCTGATCCTTGCCGACGCGCCTGAGCTGGTCGTGTGTCTGGGCTTCATGCACATTCTATCACCGCAGTTCTTGGAGCCTCTGGAGGCTGCTAAGACGAGGATTATTAACTTGCACCCCGCGTTGCCGGGCGCTTTCAATGGCGTTGTAAGTAATAGAGCTTCTTTTGGGAGTGTGGCTTGTTAGCTAGGATTATATGCTGATATCTGACTTTCCCTGATCATTAGAATGCGATTGGCCGCGCCCATGCTGCATGGTTGGACGGCCACATTGACAAGACCGGTGTTATGATGCACGATGTCATTTCCGAAGTTGATATGGGCACACCAATTCTGGTGCGGGAGATCCCTTTCCGGAAAGGCCAGGATGAGAACCTCGAGACCTTTGAAACTCGAGTCCATGAGACTGAGTGGGGAGTCGTTGTTGAAGGAGTGGATAAAGTGGTGAACGAGTTGATTGCCCAAAAACAAAAAGCCTCAAGTGCCTGAATACCCATTTGTCTTGGATGATTACTCCGCATAGTGGATGAAGGGACGCCGCGATTCTCGATCTGCGTTTTGTTTGACCAATGATCGACCCAGGGCTATAAATCCCGAATTATGCCATCCTTGGGGCTGTTGACGATTTATGACTATATTCTCGGTATATCTTGTATGACTGCAGAAAAACAAAAAGACACATATGATCATGGTTGCATGCCAATTTGGAGATCAGAGCCGACCAAATCAAGACTTCCGCCACGAAGCCAAGAACGTGCCAAGACTACCGGTCCAACATTCACACACTCCGTGGTAATTATAGTGGAAACGAGAAATAAACCAAATGACCAAGAAAAGCTCCTTGATAATCAACAGGAATGTGAAATTGCAACCATTTCACCGGTCAAATTTTCATCACATGCCAGGCCTGCAAGGCGGGTTTAGCTGCATCTTAGACCTCCAATGTGGAAACCACTATATTTAGGAATTTCATGTTTAGCTGGCCTATTCCAGGCAGGCTCAAGCCTGTAAACACCACAGCCTGACTGCATCTTCCACATTCGCGTCCCTGGCACCCATTCGGGGGCACGCGACACACCCTCTACATGTATGAACCTCCCCTTGTCTGCAATGTAGGACAGACGGGAAGTCACTACGGAGTATTCACGTGGGGAATCTAGAGCCTCGGAAGGCGAGGGAAAATCAAAAGAGAAAAAGGTGTGGTCCATGCAATGCAACCCGAGGAGAAAGTGGGCAATCAGAAGCGTTGCAACGCTAAACTAGCCGTTGGACCTATGATCGTGGCGCCACCATGATAGATCAAAGCCAATTCCCAGCGCCTTGGTTCTCTGAGTGCTCCACCATTCCCCTTTTAGTCGGATGTTGGGCTTGACGGTGGATTATGTGGGTTGCTTTTGGCCCCCGAATTCACCGGCGTCAACTCAATTAGATAGTGTCTCGTCACTTGTGATCGGCGCATAGTATATCCATTTTGGGCGCGGACTGGGATCTTTCCTGATCAAGTTTCAGAGCTCCAATAGTGGTGATTCTTTGCTTGTTTCTTGTGTTTGATATACCATAATAGCTGAACCCTCATTGCACAACGTATAGGGTATACAAACATGCAGCACCATTCCAAGGTTATAGGATGGTCACTACTTCCTTGATGTTATTTTACAGTATCATTCGGGTAATAAACTCCGACTGCCGAGAATGCAACGGGACTTTCAATATGTACTCCGTATACATCCTCACTTCAGCCACTTTATATCCACCCGTGGACCTACCAAGTTAGTGTACAACCCAGAACCAGGACTATGATTACAAAAACCAAAATGCTATGTGAGTACTTTGTACTTTTTAACCCTCCATGGTAACCAATAAAAAGCTTGTAAGCTTCCGGCTGATATATTTTTTTTGCATGTTTCCACCAGATGAAGAAGCAGATTTTTCTTCGTGGCGCACAATATAAATCGATAATCTAATGAAACTCTATTATTCTCCATTCAATTCGACCAAAACAGCCAATTGGGCTGGAAAACGCAGAAAACGTTGATCGTGGGAGTATAAAACTCCAGTTTCATGTTCAGCGCACGCACCTTGAAAATCACAACGCCATATGATCTCCAACGAGTCCACCAGAGAACCACTCTTTGCCGCTTGCTGATCTCATTATAATTAACAGTCAGTGACCCTGGAACCCTGTCGCTCTCAAAATGATACCAAATCGGGCATAGTGGCAAGTGGGTTAGTGGGGACATTAACTTCTGCCAGGATCTTTGGTTGTATGTTGTATGGCGAATCTATAACAATTTCGCAGAGATATTACTTAGATCAGCTTAATGCATGATGCATAATACTTCATATATGTGGTAGGGAAGTTGCGAGCGAAAAGAAAGCCAAAAAGAAAAGTTAAAAAGAAAAAAAAAAGAAAATCTTCTTGGGAGCCTCACGACTGTCAGCTGGGTACATACTCACATGGGTCCTGTCATGGAGCTGGTCCCCTAGCGTTGCCTTAGCTCGGGTTCTATCTCACCCACATGGATGAAGTGCTCGTGCACGGCCGGCATATTTATGGGATAAATGTGGCCAGAGCTTTGGAACCTTGAAATATGCATCGGGATTATCATCTGGGTGTACGGAGTAATTTTCAGTCGTTTGATGGCGTTGCAATCTACATCGTGCATCTCCATACAATTACCAACCCTCCTTCCACTTACCCCTATATTTTGGTCTTTGAGCTAATATTGCAAGTCCAATTAGGGATCATGTACGGAGTACTCCGTAGCGTCTGGGACGACGGAGCTTCCAACTGAATTGAGATACTTGAGCCGATACATATTGTAGTCGGTCCAAGGCTTCGAAGAGCGTTAGTGCCTTTTTCGATCTGACAGGCCCACCTTCTCTGTCAACCCATCGTCGATCAAGCGCAGTGCCGGTCGAGAACCCCCGGACATATTTTAGCCCCTCGAATCGGGAAGTCAGAGGAGGCGGGAAAGGGGCCAGTAATAGCTTACAGCTGCATTTTGTGACGGCGGTACTTTGACTAGAACCAGTTAAGCAAAAGAGAAAACAAAAAAGAAACAAAAGAAACAAAAATCTCCACATTTAGTGCAGACTATTGTTTTTCGAATCCGCGAATGAGGACCTCCAGATTCCCACAATCTACCCTAGCCGCCTCCACTTGGAACCGATCTCCGTCAGCAGAACGTTTTCGGCATTTCTATTTATCTGGCTGCCCTCGGAGGTTTCACATTTGCCGGGTTTAGGTTATTTTTATTGCGGGACTCGCCGCCCGAACATTTTATGTAGTATAAGTCAGACATGACCGGTATTGTGCTGACATTGCCGGAGCTTAACAACGGATAATTGAGTCAATGTAAGACCCTTGTTGGTTTTGATTTGGATCTACAGAGTACTAGCAGTCGATATATGAAAATAGGGGGGGGGGGGGAAAGCGAAAGACCAAAAAAGGGAAGAGAATAGTGAAAAATCTCATTCTGGCTCCTCTCCTATCTTCAATCACAGCCCCCAAAAAAGCACAAAGAAAACCAAGAACTCCCAAATACCTACCGGTATGAGTAGCTCATCTCCCTCGAGTACCAAAACCCGAGAATGGCCCGGGGGAACCGGGACAGATCCATGGACACTATCATGGTTCTCTGCATAGTAGACCCGGCCAAGCCCTAAGACAAGAATTGCTCGGATTTATCCTTGTGGCTTGGGATCGTCGTTGTCACCCCCCTTTTTTCATTTTTCATTTTCTTCATTTTCTTTGTCAATTTTCTGATACGTCGAGACCTAAATTTCGTATGTGGAGATCTACTCCGTACTTTGTATGTCTTTCTTTTTTTTTTGGAAGGAATAAGATGTTCCTGATCTTCGTTGATGAGGGGGCTAGGATAGTAATGATAGACAAAAGTACGGAGTACGGAGTACTTCGTACAAAGTAGGTTGTATTTAGAATAAAATGTAACTTGGATGTATGCCTAGATCCAGGGGGAACTAGAATACTTAGAATACTTTTTTTTTAAAAAAAAAAAACATTAACCAACTATTCTGTACTCCGTACTCCGTATATAGCCTTGGAAGGGCAATACCTCCTATATACCCAGGCCCATATGTGGCTCCGCCAGAGAGATATTTGATTTAGCCGGATGCAAGCTCTCCTGAATCAGCCCATGCTATATCCACCTGTTCCATATTCCATATTCCATATCCAACTCTTTGTTGGAGTCCAGAATACGGTGTTGTACTTCGTACATATCGTATTAGATATAGGTCGTAGATCACGCTTTAGCTTATATTCGGAGGCTAGACACCGAAAAAAGGGGTTTAAGGAGTATTAGAAAGAAAGAAATAAGCCGATTCGTTTAAATTCGATTTGAATTGTTCAATCAGTTCAAAATGGTCGTTTTTATCGTTTTTATAGCCAAATCAACTTTTTTCCCCCTTCTTCCTTTTAATCTCCGCACGTCCCCGGTTCCATTGGTTTGGGTCACTTACTTTGTACATTCAACCCCCACCAACTTCACCTCTTTTCTTCCAACTCTCTTTGATATTAAAGATGATGACTCGATCTTGTTGACTCATTGGACGGGATTAGAGGAATCAAGGAAAGCAAGGGAATTAAGGGGAGTTTGGACGGGTTTTGTCATACCGCGACAATGACGCACTCACATCAGTCACCCCAGACGGCCATGTCGGGCTTTCTGGACTCAATGAAACAGGATTCAAGCTCATCTTCGTATTCATTGTTTGGACAAACACAGTATCCCGAGAGCGTTGCATTCTGGCACGATCCATCCGCGGCACAGACGATCTTAGTGCCCCCGTCATATACAACCCCCCAGAAACAAGCTCTGTTCCAACCTCTCTCGGACCAGAAGAAGCATAAGCGCACCCGGAGCGGCTGCTTTACCTGCCGTTCGCGCCGGATCAAGTGCGACGAGAACCGTCCACTATGTGAACGGTGTAGGAAAGGGAGCCGCGATTGTGTCTATCCCTCACCCACGTCATCCTCGTCCGCATCCTCCAAGGCTAGCTCACGCAATACAGCTAAGTCGCGCGCTGGTCGCCCGCAGTCTCGCGGCAGCGATTCATCTGCGAAGGTAGACTCCGAGACTCTTAGCCCATTGCAGCCCATCATCGACGAAGAGGAACCCGACAGTGCCGTATCCAAATCCCGACCGTCGCCAGCAAGCGCCACAACCACATCACAACCGGATCTGCGTAAGAGTCAAAGTGCACAATCGCTTCAGAATCACAATGCAAGGGCCACGTCCGACGCTAGTCCTTACATCAAAGAACAGAGTAGTTCGCCATCGACTGAATCACCGCGCTTTGAGTCGATGAGCGTGCGCTCGGGCAGCCTTGGACATTCCACAACAGAATTGCTCAACAATGCGCGCTTACCGGACGATTTGCAATTTTATTTAAATTTCCACCAGGATTTTATGACTCCTCCACATTTCTTCTTGAGACAGGGTTCCTCCAATTTCATCCATCACGGCCTTATTGAACTTGCCTTGCAATATGAGCCTCTCCTCTACTCCCTGGTGGCCTTTTCGGCCTACCATCATTGTTTACACAGCCCTGGGGGAAAGCTCTATACATTTTTGAAATACTATAATAAAGCATTGGTTCTCCTCCGGAAATCATTGGGTTCTGGAGAGGAGCACAGTGAGGCTACACTGTGTACCGTCCTTGTCCTGACAACATTCGAGGTGTGTTCCCTCCCCCCCCCCGGTGACTACTGCGCCGACCTTTTTCTAACTTTGGTGCACTCACAGGAATACATTGGAGATTGGATGAACCTGATTGATCACCACCAGGCAGCACATGCATTTATGCTAGAGCTAATAACACCGGAGTCTGCCAACGTGAACGAGCTACACACCAATATCTTCTTATGGTACTCGCGCTTCGATGTGATCGTGGGGATTTTGGCCGGGACCGAAACAGTTCTCGGTCGAGATTGGTACCTTGCAAAGGAGCAGTATGATGCTGAGCAAGCTGCTATCTATCCGGATGATCCATCTAAACAACTCGCCCATGTGGCATCAATCAATCGACGCTTCGGCTTGGATATGGCTTCCCTTTATGCGAAGTTATCTCGCGGAATGATATCAATGGAACAATTCGCCATCCAGAACGAACACCTTGGCCAATGGCTTGAGCAGGCCAAGATGATTCTCAGGACATTCGATAACTACGAATACAAAGTGCAACACTACCCACAGAAGCAACCCTTGACCGAAGATGACGTTGTCGATCCATACGTGCCAGGTATCTTGTATCGAGGTCCCTTGTGGGATATCAATTATGCTTGGATCGACATTCTCGCCACCGAGACAATGTACAAGTTCCAGACCATGCAAGTCCTGCAACAGCCTTTGCTTCAGGATTTGCATGAATTGTCCAAGGAGCAGTGTCGTCTAATCGAGACAATGATTCGTTGGCCCTACAAGGAAACCGGATATTGCCTCAATTTTAAAAACAGCATCGGCATGATAGGCATGTTTCTTCCCAGAGAGCATAAGTATCAAATGTGGGCCCGTCGCAGATTAGCGTTGTTAGAGCAACATGGGTAAGATTCCACCGGCGTATCTGCGTTTCAGATCTACATTATCAAGAAAGCTAACCTGGGGTCATCCATGCGAATAGGTACATCATCGTCCCTAGTTTCCGCACCGGGCTCGCTACCATCTGGCAAGTCCCAGAGGTCAACCATTGGTGGCTCCCTAATGATGAAGGGTATACAAGCATTGTCCGCGAAATTCGTTCCTTGACCGAGGAACGCTCATCGCAGACACGCGATGAGAAGCGCGAAGCTGTTCGTGATATGAAGTCTATGTTCGGGAAGTTGAATCTCGATGAAACCGACGACGACAAGAGCCCTTTATAGTGCTCGTCAGTGAATGGGGGGGGGGGGGGGGGGGGG